ATCGGCCCAGTTCAAACCTTCTGATGCTGTTAATGTAATATGCAAATGGGAGCCTACAGGTCCGCTCCCAAAGCCTGGCCCATTAGCATTTTAAGAAGAGGCCCCCACCGTGGCCGTCTTTTGGAATGCCCGCGCCATTATCGGCCCCGTGTTAAAGAACCTGTTAAATATTTACATTGGCACGGCGCCTTGATCAGTGTGCCTAATTAGCCGGCGAGTGTACCATGGTGAGGGGGCGGGCAAATTAAGCGTTTTCCCACCTGCCAGAGCCTGCAGCCCCCACTCAGCGGCCAGCCGTTGCTTTGTAAATTTTAGAGGGGAAAAAAAAACAAAACAAAGAAACAATTTTTTTTTCCAAGCTCATTTCCCAACCCAGAGTGGAATGTGTGTATGTTCCTGGTGAAATATTCACAAATCCTGTAGAGGGGAGGGACTGGATGGGGAGGGACTGGATGGAGAGGGACTGGAGGGAGATGGCTGCGTGGGGAAGGCAGGGCAGTTTTCAGCACACTTGCCCTCTGTACACACATGCACACTCATGCTTGCGTCACATGGGCACAGACACGCCGTGACTGCTGATTAACTGCCCCCCCAAGTGCTGTAACGGGACTCCCTCAGGGAGTGGTCATAGGGTGGGGCGTTTGCCATTTCCCGAGGCTCCCCCCACCCTCCGCCATCACGTCGGGGCTCTCTGGCCATGGCGAGGGGGGCTAAGATGGCCCCTTCAGGGATTAATGGCTTTTTGGTCGTGTTCTTGCTGCGAATTTAATTTTCAGTCGGCGTATTAATCATGGCGGGCGCTGTTAACCCCTTGCCCCCATCTCACACGCACGCACATGCACATAAATGCGCACGACCCCCCCACCCCCCCCGCCACAGTCCCCATTTGGCTTGATGCACTGCTTGTGGCCCATGCCTCCCGTCTACCCATAAGGCCGTGCATCGGTTGTTATGTTGTTCCCAGGAACAATTCTAGGATTTTTTAAAGTGGGTGTGGGGGGGGCATGAGAGCAACCACAATTCATACAGAGGAACCATCCTCATCATTAACCAATTATATGTTTTGAATTAGTGACAGGGGAGGAGCAATCTGGGGACCAACCAGCTTTCATCTGGGTTCTGATGCCTGTGGCCCCGCCCCTAAATAATCCCCTGGTTGTTCAAATAGAGCTGCAACACACATCGCATCAGAGTCCTTGTGTTCTATTATAAATTAATCTTTTCTTTATTATATTTGCGGTTTCGTGGATTGAGCCTCCACTGGCAATTTGCTCAAAGATCGCCCCCTGCAGGGGTGGCTGGGTATTAGGTTTTGACCTAAATCTGCCCTGTGGGCCTCACAGCCTCAGGGTTCTCCAATCTGTCTCGTACGCACGTGTCTTTAACAAGAGGCTCTGCTAAGAGGGTGCGTGACCTGCCCCCCATCCTACTCCCAAAATCACCCGCTCCTATTGAACTTTGTAATTTCTTTTTTTTTTTTTAATTACCCAGAAAAGCACCCCAGAGAAGGCGTGTGTTCTAACAGTAATCCCACATGTATAAATAATTGAGTGTCTTCGTCTCACAATGCACTGGCAAGACAAATGTGTGGGGGCACCCCCCCCAGCCTGGCAGCTGTCCCAGCACGAGTGACGCGAGGCTGGGTGAATCCCCACAGATTGGGGGTCTTACCCCCCCCAGCCGTGGGAAGCGTGCAGGAGGGGCAGCTGTGCACCAGGACCACAATCCTAATAGATGGGCTCAGTGAATGGCGCGTGCCCGCGGGTTAGAGCCCAGGGTGAGGAAGGTGGCTGTGGTGGCGATGGCACGTCCGAGCGCCTTCCTGACCGGCCTGTTCAGCACCATCCTCTCTGTGAGATGCAAAACAGCATAAAATGGGACACAACAACATATGAGCTCAGCCCCTTCTCCAGTTAATGTAGTTTCTGGATTAGCTTTTCCTCATCACGGTGCATGAATGGTATAATTATTTACCTGTCGGATAAGGACACGGCTAGATTGTTTAGCTCGTGTAGTCGTGTTGTTTTCTTTTTTTCTTGGGTGTTGATGCAGAATAGGCAGAGGTGGAAATTTCAAGTCCAGAAAGTTAAAATCCAGACCAAGGTTTTGTTTCAAGCAACCAGTTGAGTATAAAGAGTCACAGTCACAGAGCACTCAACTGCTTGGTTGAAACAAAATCTTTTTTTTTGGATTTTTACTTTCTAGGCCTGAAATTTCTACCTCTGACAATAGGTCTTGAGGGAATGGCCTGTAGCCTGTATTCAGGAGCCTGGCCTCCGGCCAAGCCCCCCCCCCTCTCTCCTCACCTCTGGGTATAGCTCAGCACCCAGTGCGTCACGGATGCCAGGGGCAGGCTGGTGACATCACATCGCTGGCATGCGGCGTGTCCTATCAGATTCGCAGCAGTCTGATCGCTCCGCTGTGGACTTCCCACGTTTTGTGAATACTCTCCTCGCTAATGCAGTCACGGTGGCATCCCGGTGGATCCCCTGAAAGGGCTGAAACCCCAGTGGGAAACCTGTGGAAGGTTCTAGAGCCCTCGGGCCCAGGGAAGCTCCTCTCGACGGCCACCATGCCGTTTGCATTAGGCCGCCGGATTCCTGCGCGCCGGACTGAGCAGATTTATCAGCAGCGGAGTTTCAGGATCACAGGAAAGAGTCAGGCAGCTGCTGTGGGCTGCAGGCCCTTCCTCCCCACCCCCCTCTCATATCTGACAAGAGAGCAAATTTTTTTTTTGTTTTTTTTTGGTGAAAAACATCATTGCGTCATCATAGTCCAGGCTCTGAAATCATGGTCTTGTGTGATCCGTGACTTTATCTAAGGTATGTAATTGGATCCTATCTACAGTTTAAGGCGCTTTTATGTCCCTCCCCCCCCCAATTCCCCGTAACTGAGCCTGAAATCTCCTCACATTTGTTCTAAGCTGTGAGAGGCTGTGTCCCGGCATCCCTGCAGTGGCTGAGGCGGGGAGTTCTGGAGACTTGACCTGCACACTTGAACCAGGTCAGAAGCAGATCGTGTGGTTGGGTTGGCCGTGATATATGTTCCTGTCAAAACCTGGCCATCTCAGATTTACCCCTGCTTGAATCCCGCTGTTTTATGGGAAGTTCTGAAATTCCTATGATTATTTTGGGTCTTTACCCATCCCAGGCTGCCTTTGAAGTTTAGGTCCGGCGCTTCGGTCACTTTCATGATGGTCTCAGTGTCTTTCGGCACTGATTTTATGATGAACTTTACCTGGGCAACACCGTAGGAGAAATGGGTTTCCTGATGACTGAATGTGGATCCTGGGTGTCCTCGCTGAGAAATCTGTGATTTTTCATGTGCTGTGACCATACATCTCACTGACGATTCAGTCGGTGGATGAGGAGGAGGAGGAGGAGGAAGAGCATTTGTGATTCATCAATCTTCACTAAACATGCATTTCAAGTTATGAAAATATCTTTTGTACGGCCACACCTTCAATATCATATAATAATGCCATTAGGCTGAGCAGAGGGGTGTGCGAGACCAAACGCACAGACGGACACCCGTACATTGGTCCTGTTCCTGGAAGCAGAACCGTAATGTACAAGGGAAGGTGTTTGCAGCACGGAAATGAGAAATGCAATATCACAGGAAAGGAAGCACGACTGCCCTTGGTCTGCAGCAGGTTTATCAGAAAATTAAATATGGGAAGGAAGGAATGGAGACATAGCTAGTTTTCCTCTGAGCTTTTTCCTGCAGTCGACACCTGATGTACATTTGATTCGGCTACGAATGCAGCATTGCGGCGGTTCCTAGAGTCCAGGGCCCTCGGAGTGTGTTGGGTGTGCATGCCAGCTCTGTGCACCGGAGGGCGGCCGGTTCAAGCTTCTCTTAATGAATCCATTTGTTTCTCTCGACCTCTGTCGCCGAGTGGGGGTGGTCTGCCTGCAAGATAAAGAGCCTCTTGATTGGAGAAAATGCATGTTTAGGACAGGAACAGAAAGACATTTTTTTTCTTATTCTTTTTTAGAACCTGTCACCTCCCATGTCTGTTTTGGTTCCTTGACTGTTAACGGCCAGCAAAGAAGAAATTGGCAGTGTATTTTTCCCGATGGCCTGTGTGTGCTGTGTGGTTGCAAGCATTGTTTGCTTTTCCCCCCTGTGACTTGCAGGACGCTGTGGCCCAAAGCATCATGGGTAGGGGGGGGGGCTCTTCGAATCACAGACGTTGACGTTCATGAAAGCAGCCCTTATTCAGGACAGGGAGGGGTGCTGTAAATACAGAGGCCATTAAAGGCCGAGAGAGCAGGAGCAGTTTACGTTTTAATACCCGAATGTCCGCAAGGCTCGTTTTTAAACATGCTTAAATCACTGTGTTCCTGAGTCCCCAGAAAGGCGGAGTAAACATAAGTACTTTTATTACGACTAAATGGATCCATCATGTGTGTATCCTGTGTGTGTGTGTGTGTGTGTGTTGGATATGCTAGTCCGTTTTGTCGGAGCAGGGGAATGGGTTGCCCTGTAGCAGACACTGTGTGGTCTGGACGGCCAGTGAGGGTTCGAGCCCCAGATAGGCAGATCGTCCAGGCCCCGGAGGGACCCTCTCACCTGCTCCCTCACAGACAATTGGATCTCCACTCCCCGGATCAATATGTAGCATTCATGCATGAAACGGGCAAATGTCCGGCGCTTCCTGCTCAGACAGGCACACTCTTGCAAGTCCGGGAATCAATTCCACCTCCCTTCTGGCACGCAAGGGTTCCAGTGTGTGACCCTGCCCCAAATCCCCAGCCTGGGGCCTTGGGAATTCTCGGGGACCCCCAGAGAGTCTACTGTTTTGCTCCCTCCCAGCTCCCAGTACACCTGTACAAGGTATTCTGTGCTCTTGAGGACTGGGTTGAGAAACACTGGGCTAGCCCAAAGACTCAAACATGATTGGTCAGAACCTTATCGTTTAACCAGTGATTGGTTACTGGTTTGTTACACCATGCCAGCTCCTGTCACCTAACCGTAACCCACGCCTCCCCCCCCAGCACCTGCAGCAGCACGAGAGCGTCGTGGAGGGCGAAGCCGCCTATTACCACTGCACGCTGTGCAGCTACTCCACCAGGGCAAAGCTGAACCTCATCCAGCATGTCCGCTCCATGAAGCACCAGCGCTGCGAGAATCTGCGCAAGCTGCAGCGGCTGCAGAAGGGCCTGCCCGAGGAAGAGGAGGAGCTCGGCGCCATATTTACCATCCGCAAGTGCCCCTCTGCTGACACCGGTAAGGAGGGGGATCGAACCCCGGCTGCTGCCTGTGTGTGTCCCTCGTTGGACCTTCTCATGCCAGAAGCCTTCCACCATAACACCATCACCCCCATCTGCCAGTGTTCATCCCCCTGCTGAATTAGCCCATTCCCTTCTGATTTCCCATCATGCAACAGTGTTTCTTATACTATATGTGTCCTTAGTCACACACAGGTGGGTAAATGTAAAAATGGCAGGATCCCCCCCCCCCCCCCCCCCCCCCCCCATCCTGCCATATCTGAGGCACATTCATTTGAGCAGTAACACTGTAAATTAGAAGCTCCTAGAATGGTCTCTGCTTTTTAATATGTGCATTCCATAAATGTCATTCATTCCGTCCCTCTTTTGTAAATGCTGCCGGCACAGCAGTTAATGTGCACTCGAACATCCCTATTAGGCATGAGAGATGCAGCGGGTAGGGTTGTGGGTTAGGAGCTTTGCGACCCGGCAGGGTGTGGGTTCGAGTCCCTAACCACTGTACTTCACTTAAGCATGCTGCAGTTATGTATCCAGCTGCCAGAATGTATTAAGAGTAACACTCTGCATAGGCACTTCAAATAAAAATAGTGATTAAATATGAATGTGGAGCCTCTGTGATTGGCTGAGAGCAGCGGCACGTCTCAGCAGGCCTTGATTAATTACGGGACACTGTATTGGTCGCATGCCCATTAAAAGTCACATTCGTATGCCGTCCGAAGGTGATAGAACAACAACATGGGGGAAACAAAGAGAGGGGCCGGTTGTTTGTTTAAAAAAATAAAATAAAAAAGTAAGCTGCGGTCAATTAACACTTTGTCTCTGCACTGGTTTCGGATTTCTAATTGCCTCGACTCCTGCCCCCCCCAGCCCCCGGCCCGGCGCCCTGACAAAGGGGCTCCATTGTGCGGCCCTGCCCACGCACGCAGGCACGGCGTTATGTAAAAAGCGGCCCTCTGAATGCGCTTTGTCCCAAGGAGGCTGGGATAATGAAGCCCGCGGCTGGGAAATTACGCAAAAGCCAGTCACAGATCTGAGGCGAATCATTAGAGAATGTATTTAGCGCAGCAATTAAGGACAATTAAGCGTTCTGCTCGCTGCACTCCAAATATGTTAATGACTATAGTGCAGTGGACAAGTGTGCATGCTGAGGCAGGAGGGCGGCCCACTTAGGTTAAAAGGGTGGGGGAAGGGCGGAGGGGGGGGGGGGGGCTGCCATGAGGCTGGCAAACAAGCCTTGTGGTCCTGCCTCCTGTTTTTTTCCTGTGGGGATTTCTTTATTTAGCTCTGCCTCTTCATTCCCCCTAACACACCCCCCCCCCCCCCCAAAAAAAAACAAAATGAAGTAGTGTCTTCACCAAAAGAGTGGGAAGGGTTAGTGTTTGTTACATTCCCCTTGTCTGGCATGATTCTGTGTACTTCTGCCCCGGATGTCATTGCTGCCTTCATGTCAGCTATGATGTCACTTCCTGTTCTTGTGGCGGGTTGACACGCACCTCTCAGCACAAATGAAACAATCTATACCTGGACGGGGTGCGATCGCCAGAGAAGGGAGTGTGAGATGAGCACCCAGAGGGCACAGAAAGGGCACATTTAAAGGCGCAGTTGTGTGCCTGCCCATGATTGGCCGGTTTTCCGTTCCGCACGGACGGTGTGGAGCACTGCGGCTTTAAGAAGTGCCGTCGTGCTAATCGCCCGTGACGCTCTGTTTACAAAACGCCACCGGCTTTGTTTCAGAGCTGAGGGCCTGATGGATAGGTGTACGGACACCATGTCCCCATAAGGATAGGTAAACCCGCTCTCACACACACACACACACACACACACACACACACACACACACACACACACACCGCCTCAGACTAGATGTAGACCAAAAGCCTCTTGAAAACAAGTCTCTCCTCATTTCCGAAAAGCTTTTTTCCCCTCCTTTCTCGATTTTTCTCTCTTTCTCCTGTTATATATTTTTTAAAAGGTCCGTTAAGTGAAATGAAGTGTGTAACAAAGGATCAGTCTTTTCCATCCCCTCCAAGCATCTTGATTGCATTACCCTGGTAATGTGCATACCTCTTCATCAGCAATAACAAACGCTGCCATTCCTTTGCCCCCCCCCCCAATTCTGCCCCTCCTTTCCCTGTCCTCCATCTACACACATGCACACACTCCTACGCACACACACACACACACACCTACACAGACACACACGCGCTCCCCGGCGTTTGCAGCTGTGCAGCTGAACCGTTCCCTGCCGCTGTAATATTTAATTTCCTCCCTCTGAGCGGTGCCGGGGCCCCGGGCTCTTTCTTGTGGTCAAGGCACAGTTGCTCGAGTGGTAAAAGGTTCCCGCTCTTGTTAAAACAGAACTGGCCTGGATTTCTGGGTCAGCTAGGCGGTAATTCCCCGCGCCGCTCCCCAGAGCCCTGGCAGGAGCTGGGTGGCAGGCCGCTCTCGCCCCGGGGACCCTAGACGGTCCTGGGGGTCTGAACCCAGGGGTCGCCGATTAAAGGCCACCATCCGTTAAGGGAAATGAAAAGAGGGGCCGTGCAGGAAGAGGCCTGCCTTTGTGTTTATGCAGGATGGATCTCATCAGCATTTCTTCATTGAAGGGAAGACCCTCTTCACCCTGACTGCCGTCATATTTATACATATCCGCTGCTAGTTTTGCTAGCAGTGATGCTAGTTTAAGGATGAGTATTAGTAAAAATAGTCATTTATAGGCAGCTCTCGACTTGCATCAAATCCAGAGTTATGCAAAAAATATCAGAGAAACCTGGAATTTATGGAAGCACTAATTCAAAATGGTTACATACCCCCGTAGGTAAATCTATTCTTTTATCTCTTTGTTTATTTGATATGTGTTCTTTAGTATAGTGTCTCCCGACCTGGTCCTTGGGAACCCCGCAGACAGTCCAGGTTTTTGCTCCCTCCCAGTTCCCTGACAGACAGTCCAGGTTTTTGCTCCCTCCCTGTTCCCTGACAGACAGTCCAGGTTTTTGCTCCCTCCCTGTTCCCTGACAGACAGTCCNGCTCCCTCCCTGTTCCCTGACAGACAGTCCAGGTTTTTGCTCCCTCCCTGTTCCCTGACACAGTCCAGGTTTTTGCTCCCTCCCTGTTCCCTGACCGACAGTCCACATTATTTTCCCGGATAGGGAGCTGGGAGGGAGCAAAAATGTGGACTGTCTGGAGGTCACCGGGTTGAGAAATGCTGCTTTAGTATCTATTGCTAGAATATTTCAGGGTTATGTGTTTTTTGCCATAGGGTGTTTTGAATGGTATAGGAAAGTAAATCCAACTTGTGTAAAATTATGTAAGGTTTTGTGGGATGGATTGTTACGTCACTTGAGTACTGTCTGCATTGTAAAGAATATGATGATGTCCCCCAGATGATGTAGAGAAGTCCTGCAGACAGTATAAGTAATTCTGAAGTTATTGAATGTAAAATGCAGAATATGGAGACTTTCACACATGACTTTTACATATGAAGGCTGACCCGTGTGTCATCCTCAGGACGGGATGACGTGGGATCACGCCGCAGAACTCTTCCCAGAGTCTTCCTCCCAAACATGTCAAGCCTTAGGGGAAAAACCTCAGTTGGCAAAATGTCTCATATTTTTAGTTTTCCTAAAGATCTGAACTTTGGTCTGTATGTTCTGTAAACACACTTGGCTTTTCTCCATATAAATCTTCAGTTTGATTGCTGCTACTGCTTTTAATAAATGTGCTTGCCTATTAGAAGCAGCATCCACACACACAGAAGTCAGGCTAATTTCAAATGGGCAGGGCTGGGAACCACGTGACCACACCCCTTGTCCTCTGCCCTTCGCCCCCCCATCACGCCTGGGGACCAATAAGATGACAGAGATGAATTTCCCATCCAATTAAAACGGAGGCAGTGGGGGAAAAAAAATGAGCGCATTGTTTTGATTCCTGCCCCCGCTGAAAATATGCTGCCCAAGCACGCTGGCCTTTAGCTCGCTCTCCGTTTGTCTTACTTAACCCTTTCCAGGGGGTTACATATTGGGACGGCCGAGACACAGCGCTCTGCTGCTTCCCGTCCCGCCGGACTGCCCCAAAGATCCTGAGCTGACCCCCACCCCAGCATCGACATCGACTGGTACAGCCCCATTGACCTGTTCAGGCTGTCTGTTTTTCATTGGGGTGGGTGGGGTAGGCAAGATTATGTAAAAATGTCAAGTTTGCTTTCTTTGAGTGGACCTGACCAGCACAGCTCTTGAATCCAGAACCTGCAGAACTGGAGCGGCTGTTTGTCCCTGAAAATGCTGTAATTTGACAGTGCACAAGCTGTGTTTTGGTGCTGTTTGCTGTTTGTCTTTAAAGTGATGCTTTGAGATGCTGGGTTCTTGTTTGCTGGGGTGCGTGGGTGGGGGTGAGGGGTGGCACAGGCCGGATGTGTGGCCATCGCTCACACCCCCATCCTCCCCCATTCGCCCCCCTTCACGTAGACCCCAGTCCAGCCACTTACACCACCAGCCTCCACTGGTTCTGAGCTGAGCACCCGGTATGTCACCCGTGGCTGTTTTTCCGTGAGCGGAGGCTGATGTGTGGGAAATCGGGGCAGCATGAAAGGGCACCATGTGACCCATGACGGGCGTGTCACCAAAGGGGCGTGTCCTTCTTGGAAGGGCGCAGCGAATGGTGTCCTGTGCGTGACAGGTAGGTCAAACCAACAACAAACCAACAAACAGGAAGGTTAGGGTTGGTTGTGGGCTGTCCTGCCCTGTTTGTACTCTAAAGCTCTTGTAAGAACAAATGCATTGAATAGGATCCAATCCCTTAATTGTGGATTCCGGGCCGCGTTGTGGGCGTGGCCTCTTCTCTGCCTGCCTTCAGGTCTTCGATTTTGACGGCGAAGGTCCTTGTTTGTGTAACATTGGTCTGTGTGGCAAACGAGGCCCGGCTGTGTTTGTGTCAGGTGGGGTGGGGGTGGGTTATGGGGAGGGGGCATTGCCCTAAGTGGGCAGGCTCGTACGCAAGGGAAGG